GTCCCCACACACCTGGGCCAGGTGAGGCTGTGGGAGGAGCTGGAGGTGACACCTGAGCAGGTGAGGAGCCGGAAACAGGCGGGAAACAGCCGGAAACACCCGGAATGAACCCAAAAAACAGCCGGAAACACCCGGAATGAACCCAAAAACACCCGGAAACACCCGGAAACAGCCGAAAACCACAAATTTAACCCCAAAAAAACACCCAAAACCACCTGAAAACACCCAAAAACACCCGAAAACACACGAAATGAACCCAAAAACACCCGAAAACACCCGAAAACACCCAAAATGAACCCAAAAAACAGCCGAAAACACCCGGAAACAGCCGGAAATCCCAAATTTAACCCCAAAACCACCCGAAATGAACCCAAAAACACCCGAAAACACCTGAAAACAGCCAAAATGAACCCAAAAAACAGCCGAAAACACCCGGAAACAGCCGGAAATCCCAAATTTAACCCCAAAAACACCCGAAAATCCCAAATTTAACCCCAAAAAACACCCGAAAATCCCAAATTTAACCCCAAAACACCCAAAAACACCCAAAAACACCCAAAATGAACCTAAAAAACAGCCGAAAACACCCGGAATGAACCCAAAAACACCCGGAAACACCCGGAAACAGCCGAAAACCACAAATTTAACCCCCAAAGCACCCAAAAATCACCCAAAACACCCAAAATGAACCCAAAAACCAGCCGAAACCACCCGGAAACAGCCGAAAATCCCAAATTTAACCCAAAAAACACCCAAAAACACCCCAAAACACCCAAAAACACCCGAAAACACCCAAAATGAACCCAAAATCCCCAAAATTCAACCGAAAATGCCCCAAAATCCCTGAAGTTTGACCCAAAATCCCTGAAATTTCACCCCAAAATCCCCAAAATTTCACCCCAAAATGTCCCAAAATCCCCCAAATTGAACCCAAAATGTCCCAAAATCCCCGGAATTTGCCCCAAAATCCCCGAAATCCCCAAAATTTCACCCCGAAATTGACCCCAAAATCCCCGGAATTTGCCCCAAAATCCCCGAAATTGAACCCAAAATGTCCCAAAATCCCCAGAATTTGCCCCAAAATCTCCCAAATTTGACCCAAAAGCCCTGAAATTTCACCCCAAAATGACCCAAAAATCCCCAGAATTTGACCCCAAAATCCCCAGAATTTCACCCCAAAATGTCCCAAATTCCCCCGAATTTCACCCAAAATGACCCAAAATCCCCCAAAATGTCCCAAAATTCCACCCCGAAATGACCCAAAATCCCCGGAATTTGCCCCAAAATCCCCAAAATTGAACCCAAAATCCCCAAAATTTCACCCCAAAATCTCCAAAATCCCCAAAATTTCAACCAAAAATGTCCCAAAATCCCCAGAATTGAACCCAAAATGTCCCAAAATCCCCAGAATTTGACTCAAAATCTCCCAAATCCGACCCCAAAATTCCCAAAATTTCACCCCAAAATCCCCAAAATTGAACCCAAAATGACCCAAAATCCCCGGAATTTGCCCCAAAATCTCCTCCCCGTCAGGCGCAGCCGCGGTGCCGGGAGGGCCCCGAACACCCGGGGACAAACAGCCGGGAACAGGCGGAGCTGGTGAGAAACAGCCGGAATTTGGGGTGAAAAACCGGGAATTTGGGAAAAAAACGTTAAAAAATGGGAATTTTGGGGAAAAAAACACAGAATTTGGGAAAAAAATGGGAAAAAAATTTGGAATTTTGGGGAAAAACAACGGGAATTTGGGGAAACAACAGCCGGGAACAACCGGAGCTGGTGAGAAACAGCCGGAATTTGGGGTGAAAAACCGGGAATTTGGGAAAAAACGTTAAAAAAATGGAATTTTGGGGAAAAAACCCCAAAATTTGGGAAAAAAATGGGAAAAAAAATTTGGAATTTTGGGGAAAAACAACGGGAATTTGGGGAAAAAACAGCCGGGAACAGCCGGAGCTGGTGAGAGACAGCCGGAATTTGGGGTGAAAAACCGGGAATTTGGGAAAAAAACATTAAAAAATGGGAATTTTGGGGGAAAAACCCCAAAATTTGGGAAAAAAATGGGAAAAAAAATTTGGAATTTTGGGGAAAAACAACGGGAATTTGGGGAAAAAACAGCCGGGAACAGCCGGAGCTGGTGAGAAACAGGCGGAATTTGGGGTGAAAAACCGGGAATTTGGGAAAAAACGTTAAAAAATGTGAATTTTGGGGGAAAAACCCCAAAATTTGGGAAAAAACCCCCAAAATTTGGGGAAAAAATGGGAAAAAAATGGGAATTTTGGGGAAAAACCCCAAAATTTGGGGAAAAAAATTGGGAATTTTGGGGAAAAACAATGGGAATTTGGGGGGAATTCGGGGAAATTTGGGAAAATCCTGGGAAATTTGGGGGGAAATTGTGAAAAAATGGGGAAAAATGGGAAAAAATTGGGAAAATTTGGGAAAAAATGGGGGAAATTGGGAAAAATTGGGAAAATTTGGGGAAATTTGGGGAAAATTTGGGGAAAAATGGGAAAATTTGGGGAAAATTTGGGGAAATTTGGGGAAAATTTGGGAAAATTTGGGGAAATTTGGGGAAAAATCGGGGAAATTTGGGGAAATTTGGGAAAAATTTGGGAAAAATTTGGGGAAAAATGTGAAAATTTGGGGAAATTTGGGGAAATTTGGGGAAATTTGGGGAAAATTTCGGGAAAATTTGGGGAAATTTGGGGAATTTTGGGGAAATTTGGGGAAATTTGGGAAAATTTGGGGAAAAAATGGGAAAATTTGGAAAAAATGGGAAAATTTGGGGAAATTTGGGGAAATTTGGGGAAATTCGGGAAAATTTGGGAAAATTTGGGGAAAATTTGGGAAAATTTGGAAAAAATGGGAAAATTGGGGAAATTCGGGGAAATTTGGGGAAAATTTGGGGAAAAAATGGGAAAATTTGGGAAAATTTGGGAAAATTTGGGAAAATTTGGGGAAATTTGGGAAAATTGGGGGAAAATTCCCAAAATTTGGGGAAATTCCCCCAAAACCTCGGGAATATTTGAGCGGGAATTGGCCCCTCCCCCTCCCCAGGTGTGTCCAGGCCTCACCTGTCGGGAATTCCGCTGCTCCATCCCCCCCCTGAGCCCCCCCAGAACCTGGGGGTTCACCCTGGGGGGGAAACTGAGGCTGGAGTGGATGCGACAGGTGAGAGTGGGGGAGGGGACAGGTGAGGGTGGGGGAGGGGA